AAACTGTCATACCAGTTTGTTTTACTGCTCTCTTGCACACTAATTCAGTTCCCTGAAAGAGTAGTGGCAGATATTAATGCCTCACAGCATTTAAATTTATTTTTGAGGGCATAATCTCATCTTGAGTTAAAAAAGTTCTAAAAGGTCTGTACAAATTACTTGAATAAATATATATCTGTTGGAATAATTTATGTGAACACCAAAATTTCCATAATAAAATTTAAAACAAGCAAATTTTTCATATTAAGTTGATGTGAAATGATGGGCCCTTATATTTAAGCTATGTGAAACTAACTGCCACTTGTGCTTAGAGGGTACTTAGATATTCGGGAGATATGAAAGATTCACAATTGTTTGCTTTGGGAAGCCCAGGTACAAAAGAGCTGTCGAATGATAAAACTATTCAGGCCAGGCGCAGTGGCTCACACCTAGCACTTTAGGAGGGCAAGGCAGGTGGATTGCCTGTGCTCAGGAGTTCGAGACCAGCCTGGGCAACATGGTGAAACCCTGTCTCTACTAAAATACCAAAAAAATGAGCCAGGCATGGCGGTGTGTCCCAGTTACTTGGGAGGCTGAGGCAGGAGAATTGCTTGAATCCAGGAGGTAGAGGTTGCAATGAGCCAAGATCACGCCACTACACACCAGCCTGGGCAACAGAGCGAGACTCCGTCTCCAAAACAAACAAACAAAAAGAACGAAAACTATTCAAAAGCATGTAGTTTCTGCTCATGCAGGTTTTGAATTAAATCTTATGAGCCACACTAAGAAAAAGTGGACAGTAAAGCAGAAAGTAGCAATAAGACCTGTCTAGAGACATCTAATAGATAACAGAATTGAATCAGAGCCAGAAGGTTCAGGAGAAAGTCATGAGAATACAGCTCAAGCAATATTTTAAGCACTTGAAACTGAATTAAACCCATAAAATGCTTCACTGGGTCCTTACATATGACTGCAATTTGTCACATCACACTAAACACCACAAAGTCTTAAACACTTGTGCTGATTTTCAAAACAGAGGTCAATTTGAATGACCACAGCCAATGTAGCAAAAAATTCTGGAATTTCAGCCATGAGTTAAAAATGATTTGCACTTTTTTCTTTTGGAAGATTCTTTTAAAAAATCTGCAAACAATGAATATATAACAACAAACTAAATATGAGTATGTTAAATAAATATAAATAACAGTTACATATTAAAATAATAGTTTGTCTTTCAGATAACTATCATTATTCAACAAATATAACTTACTCATTCAACAAATATTTATTAAGCACCTATTATGTTGCAGGTCCTTTTCTAAGTGTTTCTGAGAATCCCATTTTGAATAAGACTTAGGAATTTCACTTTCTCTGGAAATCTGATAGAGATGGATAAGGTAAACAAACTCTATATACTCATATATTTTAGGTAGAAGAATACAATTTTAGATAGGAATTTGTGTTAAGAAATCACAAAGAGGTAAGTTGATAGAGTGACCCTGGGGAGAGGGCAACGGCAAACATAACACTGCTGGTCAGATAAGTCCTCTCTGAGAAGTTGACATTTTATCTAAAATAATGAAAAAATGACCATATCATAAATGCCCCTCTCCTCCACCAAACCAAACCAAACAGCTGGCTGTAGAGTAGAAAATTCCAGGCAAACAGAACTACAAGTGCAAAAGGCCAACATGGCAGAAACGTTGGCATTGTTAAGGAAGCCTGATTGATTGGTTGCCATTGACAGTATGCAGTAAACATTTAGCAACTGCTTTCAAGAAACAGGCCAACTAGATTCAAAGCATTTACTGATTTCCATGGTGTAAAATACTTCCACGTAGGCCAATTGCAATCTAACAAGGTGATGATACTAAATGCAGAACTGAGAGGAGACAAAGGGTGAGCTGGGGCCAGTGCATGGCACTGGCTCAAAATAAAGGTGGCAACTGGCGGTGGTGGAGGGGTTCAGATAAACTGACAGAGACTAGGTTATTTAATCCCATGTAGTCAATGGTAAGACATTTAAATTTTAATCTTAGAAATCATTGCGGGGTCTCTATGCAAGAGATGGGGTATGATGATCTAATTTATAGTTTTAAATGTTCATGTGTTGTCTGTTGGAAAACGCACCATGCAGGAGAAAAGATAGGCAGTTAGCAAGCTATCATACTACCCCTAGCTTAGACTAAGGAGGTAGTATTGGAGGTAAAGAAAAGTGGATACATTCAGGACAATTTTGGACATTTTTGAAGCTGAGTCTACTTGTTAATGAATTTGTTGGATATGGTGTACAGAGGAAGAGGAATGAAGAATAATAACAAGGTTTGCCTTCAGCAATTGTGAAATGCTCTACAGAGCAATTCGTTTAAGGTAGGGAGGTGAATAGAAGTCAAAAGTGTTACTTTGGCCTTACTAAACTTGAAATGTCTAGCAAACATGCTGACTGACATTAATAGCTAAAATAAGCAATTCCTTTTATCTATTTGATCAACAAACTTTCATATAGATATTAGTATTTCCAATCATAGATACAAAAATGAAGGAATAGGAAAGTTGTCGGAGGTCATATAGCTGGGAATGTCAGAGGTAGGATGTGAACTGGGGTTTAACTATAAAGTCTATGTATTTAACTCTAGGATATACTTCCATTTCTATCTGAATTCATTTTTTAAAGTATACTCTTCTAGTTTCCCTGATAATTTCCTGCTACTTACTCCATTTAAAACATTATTTTATTTATTGCACATATGAGAAAATAGTAAGGCAAACTCTAGTAAGAAAGGCTACTTAGGAATAGAATGCCTAACCCATATGAATGACATTACTGCTTTAGAGCAAATTCTCCTTTAAACCTTGTAGCAGTACCTGTATTACTATACCAAGTGGATGTGTTAGCCTCCTATGAGTTTCTACTTGGTACAGTAAATCTTTCTAGAAGAAATAACAATAAGTAATGCATAATGAAGGCTGAATATCCATACTTTCAGTTATACCTAAGCAACATATCATCAGTAATGGAATTGTAGTCTGTTTAGCAATTTAATTATCTACAGGAAAAATGAGATATAATTATTATACTCTCTTCTGGTTTTGTAATTTAGTAATGTAACTTTTAGCACCACACACATGATAGTGTGGTTGTAGCTTATTGGAGTAGTAGACAGGAGTAGTTAGAGTTTCCAGATGTGCTACTTTGTAACCATGCAGTCAGTAAATAAAAACATGATGATAGTTTAAATGGTAATGTTTTCTCCCTCCCACATTGAAGGATTTAGTGGTTTGCATGATTAAAAAGCTGCCACTGCAATCCGTGCCATACTGATGAAACTGACCTATCTCTGGGCTAAGGTAATAGTTCAAAAAAATGCAAAGGAAAGGTGATTTGTGAGATAAAGAATTAAACTCTCAAATTTTTTTAAAAAAACACTTTGATATTTTCCATGTCCTTAGAACACTACAGATTGGGGAAAAACATTGCATCTGGGATCTAATAGCTGCCATATTTTTCTGAAATTTCTCATGTCATCTATGAGTTTGACTTTTGAATCAAAACAGTGAATATGTATTTTAAGTCCTCTGTCAAAGATCTCATTCCTGGAAAATAAGATTGAACTGTAGATTCTAAAACCGGATGTCTAAAACTCACATTGTCCTGAAAAAAGTGGTTATTCATTTGAATAGTATCCAAGGGAATTAATTTCAAGGTCACCCAGTTCAACTTTCCTTACAACTTCTGTTTTCTGTATCACTCATAACAAGTGAACTTCAGACATCTAACTGAGTATTTATCCACCAGTGGCCTCAGAAATGCCAGTCTATTTCAGAGCAACTTGAAAAACAGTGCTCATAGAGAGCTGTGCTTTGAAACAAGGTTTAATTAATGCTTTCATTTTTAGAGTTGCCAAAACACCATGACTTGGGATACTAATCTCACTGAAACTCATCTGTGCCTCCCATCATGGTCTTCAGTATCATTTTTAAAGCTTTGAGTGACAGGCTTCCATATATACTAATGTTACTGATAATCTGATTGCTCACCCTCCACAACTTAGGATCCTCCATTACTCTATTGGGCAGAATCTTCACACATCTGATCTGCATATTTCTTATTTAATAGAAATTAGGGTTAGACTTCTGTTACTTATCCTTATACTAATAATTCCAAGTCCCGGTTTCCCCCTGATCCCGATTTTCCAGGCTGATGGCATCAGGAACTTATAGTTTGGCTCCCTGGAATCAGGACTTGGTTCTTGAGCGGCCTGCACATTTAGATCAATGCTTCACTGAACACTGAGCCACCTTCTAGTGAAAGCTCCTCCTAACAGACTGACTCACCCATGTCTATCAGAAGAGAAGAAGTGGTTGGAACCATCTAAATGTTTCCAAAGCTAAAGTACTTTAAATGACTCCTGGCTCAGGAAGTAGAGAATAAGGTCACATCCAGAGGTACTCAATCGGCTTATAGGGCAAGAATTCATTCTGTTTTATGGGAATAGGGCTTAGGTGGCAACGATCTTTAGCCTTTGTCACTTATATATAAATGTCATAAAGTGAATTATGTGCCATCAATAATACAGAGGCAATCAGAATTTCGAGCATTAGTAAAAGTGAACAAATATTTCATTTAATGGCAAACAGAAAATATTTCATACTCATATTATGAAGAAATTATTATTATTTAATTAATTTATTTATTTTGAGACGAGTTTCGTTCTTGTTGCCCAGGCTGGAGAACAGTGGCACGATCTTGGCTCACTGCAACCTCTGCCTCCTGGGTTCAAGTGATTCTCCTGCCTCAGTCCCCTGAGTAACTGGGATTACAGGCTTACACTACCATGTCCAGCTAATGTTTGTATTTTTAGTAGTGATGGGGTTTCACCATGTTGGTCAGGCTGGTCTTGAACTCCTGATCTCAGGTAATCCATCCACCTCGGCCTCCCAAAGTGCTGGGGTTACAGGCGTGAGCCACCGTGCCTGGCCTAGAAATTATTTACAAATGAACAAGGTTGTAATGGACTTACCTCCATCTATAGCTGTAATCATTAAGACAAACTGCTCTTTTGTTTCCCTATCCAGACTCTGTGTTACTCCAAGTTCTCCACTGGCTGAGAGAGTAAAAGCGTTGTCTTCATTACCACCAAACAGAACATATGAGAGTTTGCTGTTAGATCCTTGATCATCATCTCTTGCCACCACCTAGAGAATAGTACATATCATGATGTGAGTAAAACAAACAATGAATCTCATGAAATAAAATGCCTGCATTAAAAAAAACGAGGTAAAACCATGTTAAGAGATTCCAAAGATATATTTTAAGATTTTCAAGTAAAAAATAAAAATGGCACACTATAGTATGTATCATCCGAGTCTATTTGTGTAAAAATATGCATAAAGCTAATGCACAGCATTTTTGGAAGGCGTCATAAAAATTTTTAAGAACAGTTTCACCTAGGTAGTTAAATATATGAAGGAAAAGAGTAGAGCAGTATTTGTAACAAATTTTTCAAACATTTCCACCATTTTATTTTTTACTATGTACAGATATTATCCTTGTGGAACAAAATTCAAAAACACAAATACATAAATGTGTGAAACATGAGTATACACAAAAGAAAGCTAGTAAAACACAATAGTTTCATCGATGAGGAAATTAAGAGGTTGTTAGGTATGATGTTTATAAACCTTTCCTTTTCAAAATTTGCTATATCTGCAATTGAGCATTTCTGGTTGAGAATGAGGAGAGAACAGGGGAAGCATAAACACTGTAGAAGAGGGAAGGTTTTCAAATATATGTCTTATAATTAAGACAACACTTGCTTTATTTAAATATACTGACCTGAAGAATTGTTCTGGGTAGTGTCCGTAAATTCTCAGGGACATTTACAGAATACGGAGATAGCTCAAATACAGGAACAAAGTCATTAATATCCAGTAGAACAATGCTGACTGTGGAGGTATCAGTTCTCGGTGTGCTGCCTCGATCTGCTGCCTGAACAGTTAAATGGTAGGTAGGGGTCTTTTCTCTATCCAAAGGTTTAGCAACAGTGATGGCACCTGTGACAGAGTCTATCCGAAATTCCTGATTGGTATTACCATTAACAATGCCATAGCGAACCTGTCCATTTGTGCCTTCATCTCCATCTGCTGCAAACACTTGTATTATATCTGTTCCAGTAAGTGTGTTTTCATTAATCTCCACTTTATACAAAGTTTGTGCAAAGATGGGGTTGTTATCATTGATGTCAAGTACCATAACTATAACCTCTGTAGATGAAGAGAGAGATGGTTGACCTTTGTCTGTAGCCACCACTGTTAGAGTATAATTAGAAACCTCTTCTCTGTCCAGTTCTCCAGTGAGCCTCACTTCACCATCAATGGTCCCAATACTGAACTTGTTTCCCAAAGGGTTCAGCAGAGTGTACTCAATATAGCTGTTTGGGCCACTATCTGGGTCAGATGCTTGAGCTTTGAAAACAACAGTATCAATAGGTGTATTTTCTGGAATGTATGTCAATTTAGGGGAAAGAAATGTTGGTGGGTTATCATTTACATCCAACAAAATAATGGAGACTTGAGCAGTGCTTGTGAATCTGGAGGCTGGAATCTGTGACAGGTCATGCACCTGAACAACCAAGTTATAGAAGGACTGACTTTCCCGATCCAAAGCTTTTAGGACTTTGAGTACACCATTCTTGTCAACAGTAAACTGCCCAAGACTATCACCTGAAGCAATGCTATAAGCCAATTGAGAGTTGATGCCTGAAATTAAAGGGAAGAAAAAAAGTATCTTAAACATATGCTGATTGCAGAACAAGCTACGGCAAAACTTTTGGCAAGTGTTTTGGCATGTTTGATATACCATGCACCCAAACACACTTTAGGAAATCCTGTGAGCAAATGATCTATATACTGCTTGCTATTTACTAGGGTGTTGACATGTTAAATTACAAAAGTAAAGAGGAGAAAAATATTCCAGAGCGCGGATATTTTTCTGTATATTTCCTTATTTCTATCACATAATTCTTGATTGTCCAACACTAACAGTGCCACACATTATACTGTTAGCCAAACATTTGTAAATTCAATAATTTAGGGAGGCTGAACCAATTTTCAAGAAAGGGTAATAAAATATTCTGATGTATGGCATTAGTCATGAATGCTGTGAGTGTACTTTTACATTTCATGTCAAAATCAGTAAATATTTATTAATTCCTATTAAGCATCTAGCTAAGTAATGACCTTTGAGATAATAGTTATCTTCCAAATTTTATTAAACATATTTAATGTTTCAAAAAAGTATTTTTAAAGAAATTGTTAGCAGTAAAATTATACATAAAGCTTTCCAAATATAAATGTTCATGATATTATTGGACTGTATTTAGATACTGTTGATTTTTCTTAGGATCATGTGTCATTTTTTAGTTTAAAAATGGTTTCTAAATCCTCATTTCAGAAAATGATTGCAGAGATTCTTATAACAAAAATGATGTGGAGCATATACATCATCTTATTGTTTTAGTAACGAAAGGTAAATAACAAATAAGCAGTGAAAACAGAAAGAAGTCAGTTTCTGCCTGAGTGGTGTTTTCTTCTCTGGCCTATAATGACACATACATTTTTGCATCTTATCCTAATGACATTGGAAAAATTACAGGATAGTATGATAAAAACATACTGTACATGTAGATAATCTATCTTTACTAAAGATGTATATTCTGGGACTAGCAAATATCTACTGACTAACCTGAATTATTTACAATCAGCTTCTATATTTCTAATGTTAATTTCAACTATCCAGGTTTCTGAATTCTGCCTATGAGAAGTGATGTTCATTTTTGGAAAAAGTCGTCTAGAACAATTTAATCACCCTTTTACTCTTTTCTTAAAAACAATTCTTTCTCATTATTCTATGAATACTTCAGTTAACTTTTGCCTTTTTTCGAACTTCATCAAGTTCTTTAAGAAGTTAAATTTAACCTGAGTATGAGATTGTTTTCTACTATGTAGAACTCATTGTTTTCAAAAACACCACAGTTACGCGTATTCTGTGACTTTACTGTCTCTAATATCCTTCGCCTAATTTGAAACATAGGAAAAATATTTATGAATATAACTTTCAGGTATTGACTTATTAATAAAAATTTCTAGGATAAACAATGAGTAAATCATTGAAAAGGTAGTTTATTTTTCCCCCTCATTATGAGTTGTGGCTTTTAATCTTAAGACTACTCACAAGTGAACAAAGAGGTTATAAAGTTCAGAATACTTAGGAGTCTGAAAATCAGGAAAAATATGAATAAATAAAGCTAATAGGTGTCAGAGGTCAATTCACCCACAGGAAAGAAACAGAATTGTAGAATCTGACTAGAACAAGGTTAACAGCCTATTTCAACCCTTGTCTTAAACTTCCACAGGCTTCACAGGATAAAAATTTCCATTATCTTCATATATATATATAGAGAGAGAGAGAGAGAGCTTTTAGGACTTTCATTACAACATAAATATATATATACACATTATATTGTGTGTGTACATATTTACTCAAACATTATAACATATATATATTCAAGTATCTATCTATACACACATACAATTTATTTTTAATTTTGCCTATATGTGTGTTTCTATTAATGTCTACATACATAATTACTTTCAATTACTTTTTAAGAAAATTTTCTGCATTTCCTGTGAAAAAGTTCATCAGTAAATATTGAATCCCTATTCTTTTGGGGACATGATTATTATTGAGAAATGCAGTTATGAAAACACCTGAATGAAAATAAATACCAACAAGCAGAGATATAGAAGTTAATTATAGAGAAGCATATAAAATCTTTCATATCTAAGATCAAAATACATTAAAAATACTGACATTTTACATGGCCTAACATCTCTACACAAATCAACAGGAATGGGAGCAATTAAATCAAGTATCTGAACATCCTTAGTCCATCATGTATGCTTCTTCCTTGAGTAAACAGCTAAATTGCAGAGGCAAAAAGAGAACATGATCCCAAAATTTTATAGCCTTGCTGTAAACAGCAGAACAGCCTCTTTTATAAATGCAAAAAGTTTGGTAGATGAATGGGTAAGGGAAGTAATAAATGTTAAACTAATTAAAAGTATAACAAAAGAAAAATTTGCTTTTATGTTCAAATACATAATGACAAAATATTAAGTAACAACATCAAAAATAAACTGAAGATAATTATTGTTGATGAAACTAAAAAATATAACAATTTTTACATAAAATATTGCCATATTATAGAAGAAGTAGCTCTCATCTCAGGAACTGAAAATTAATTGCTGCAATTACAGGTCATGGAATCTGTCTACATTTACTTTACTGTAAAGAAAATAACTTTTGGTTTCTGACATGTCTAAAAAGTGAATTTGGCCATACACACCACATCTAGAAAATACATGCAGACATAGCAAAACTCAAACTTCTCCCTGAATATTTGAAATATACTGAAAAATACTTAGCTTAAACCATTTTAACCTATTTTTGTGACAAATATCTGAATGATGAGACAGTAAACACATTATTTTAACATTATTATTTTTACATTGTTTTGAATTCTAAACTTTATCCATAAGTGTTTCAATTTAAATTTAGTGGGCTTTAATGGCCTAACAGATCTTTAAACTTCAAACAGCCCATTGTGAACCATTTGTGTTCAATGTTCTCCAAGTCATTTAGTTACATGATTCTTCCTGGCAGTTTTATTGCATACGTATGGTTTTATGGTTTTGTCATATATACATACACACACACACACACACTATATAGATATGTACATATCTATATACAGTATTTCAGTCTCATGAATAATTTAGTTCTAAGAAGCACAGCACATAAAATATATATTATAAATATATAAAAAATATATAAATACTAAAATATATTTTAAAAGTATAGGTGTATAGTTTCGTGCTATAAAATGTGTACATTTACTCACAATCTATAAATGCCATCTTCTAATTTCTATAAAGAACTAATATTTGTCAACTTTTCACACAGCTGCAACACAAAGAAGTATTTTGAATAACATCCATCTTTATAAAGCAGTTTCAACAAGGTCATCGGATCACTGGAATATATGAATCTCAGTGGCGTGTATTGTACACCAATATTATATAGCTACATTTATTCAGCAAAAATTCCCATTGTATTATTAGCAAAACATTTTTATATGACTTCCCAATATTTAAAGTATAAAGAATTTATAGGATAATAAAATAACCATCAAAGCCAGAATATTTCTGTGATGCTCCAATTTAAATAGTTTCCTCAATGTAATACCATATGCATAGTAGTCTTGATGCTAACAGAGGTATTACCTTTCTTGTGAAAACAGTAAAAGATCTGATTTATTTTTATGAAATCATCATGTAAGCTAAATTTTAAACTCAGAGAGAATCCATAGAAAGATAACAGTTTGTGAAATTTATTTTCATATAAAATGTCTTCATCTAAAAAGATGACAGTATTGCCTCATTGGAACCTTCTGATCAGAGACTGAGATTTATTTGTTAATTTATTATTTTTAAAAATGTCTGACTAATATTGTCTGTGAAATACTTGACACTCTTTTGTGTAACTGAGCTGGAAAATTTTACAAACAAGCTTACCCTTGTACAGCCTTATCACTGTCCTTGAAATTCAGAAAGAATAGGAATTGTGTCGTATATTTTAGGTCAAGGTGCAGGAAATTGCACTGATAAAATTATTCAAACTAAAACAATGAATAAATATTGCTTGAAACTTTTACTCAATGCAATTAAAGGAAAAATATCACAAAAACTGACTTAGAGTCAATGGTCAATGGATTTCTGTGCTTACACGTGCATGGAATATTCCAGCAGGTTTTTGACAAGCAAAGTTCTTTTCTTTTTCTTTTTAAATTTTTGGTATCTTCCCAGTTTCCCTATATTTTAAGTTATGATGGTAAATAAAACTTATTCCAGGAAACCATACAATTCTATGAAACAATGGGTTGTCTCTAATACATAACTAATAAATCCAAAGAAACATGGTGGAAAATTCTTCACTATAGAAAAGTTGAGCACAGTTACAGGACAAACAACTTAAGAATATATAATAGGCTTTGAAAATATTCTTATCTACGGAATAGGTAAACTAACTACTAACAGAGAAGTCAATCTCCAAAATAGAGATTAACCTCAATTATATATAGATGTCTAATTGGAGCCAATTCACAGACCTGGCATGAGGTACATGAAACAGAGTGTGCAGTGTTCTTAGGCCAGGACTGGGTACATGCAAAACACTTCACAGATGTCGGGTCTTGAGATTATTATCAACATCGTTAACATTAAAGTACTGTTACTAGCAATAGTAGTAGTAATAGTATTAGTACTAGCATTACTGCTGCATCTATTTTAGATATATCTTTGTGTCCAATTTTAACTGCACTTGAACTAGAGGAGGAAACTTCAAAATGGTCTTACTCAATGAATTCTAAAGAAAATGTTTCCCATTTTACTTATTGAAACATATATAAAATACTGTGCTTTTTGCTTTTCATATCGTTCCAAGTGCCATTTATAGACACTATGAAAAGGAAATTAAGTATAGAATAGAATGTTAAAATAGAATAGTATTTTGAGACTTCACAAATCATCCAAGTCAAAAGAATAAGGAAATTCTAAATTGAGATAGATATGCCTGTCACTAGAGAACTATTTCCTCTTCGAAGTGCTGTCCTTTGTTTTATATATTGACAAGACAATTTAGTTGCATCCAATGTAAGGGAAAACACAGTACTAATTTTCCAGACAATTCAGTTAAAGATTGCTAATCCATACAATGTTTTCTCTAATGCTGTATTATATAATGTGTGTACTTACAAAACAGGTGTTAGAAGAAAGGCCAAAGGAGTCAGCTATTAAAATAAAGTTTGCCAATTGCTTTTGCAAAAAACACAAATCAAACTTATGTAAAGTAAAAATTTAATGCAAAATTTTAACTTGATCATTTAGCATAAATTAAACAGATCTGAGACTTTCTGTGTTAAAATGAAACCTGGTTAAAATATTATTAGCTGGGCTGGGTGCGGTGGCTTACGCCTGTAATTCCAGTACTTTGTGAGGCTGAGGGAGGTGGGTCACCTGAGGTCAGGAGTTCGAGATCAGCCTGACCAAACTGGAGAAACCCCGTCTCTACTAAAAACACAAACTTAGCCAGGCGTGGTGGTGCATGCCTGTAATCCTAGCTACTCAGGAGGCTGAGGCAGGAGAATCACTTGAACCTGGAAGGTGGAGGTTGCAGTGAGCTGAGATTGCATCATTGCACTCCAGCCTGGGCAACAAGAGCGAAACTCCATCTCAAAAAAAAAAAAAAAAAAATTGTTAGCTATTTGTCAGTCAAAAATATGAAACTTAGATTTTGCATTCATAAGCATTTTTATTTAAGTCTTTGGTTTCATTTTTCAAGTTAAAATAATATATGTAAACTTAAATATTTTTATTTATCTAACAAAAATCTTCAAAAAAAGTGGCCTTATGACTTCTACATTACTAAATTGAAACACTACCCTACATTTAGGAGGAAAAATAAGATAAAGTTTATAAAACAATAAAAGGTATGTTTTCTGTTACAAATAATAATTTAACTGATAAAGTACTTAATTTTTAAAATCCTCTATAGTTCAGTTATAATTCTATTCCTCAACTTTGGAACTATATTCACAAAACACATTTTTGTGATGGCTCAACACAATAAATAAATGTAATATAAATCTGATGACAGTTTATAGATATTTTTTAAATTATATTAAATAAAATACATACCATCATCTGCATCAGTAACATTAAACACAAGAACAGTAGATCCTACAGGTAGATTCTCCATTAAAGATGTGCTGTATGAATTCAAGCTGAAAATAGGTGGATTATCATTTACATCTAGAATATTGAAATAAACTCTGATGGCAGTAAATTGTCCCCCACCATCTTCTGCTCGAACAGTGAGGATATAATATTGCTGTACTTCATAATCTAATACTCGAGTCAAATTAAAGACCCCAGTAATGGGATTCAGGAAAAAGATGCCATCTTCATCATCTTCATTCACAATATATGTAATTTCTCCATTCACACCAGAGTCATCATCCGTGGCTAAAATGGCTGCTACCAAAGAACCTATCAAAAGAATAATAGTATAAAATCAAGGAAGCAAGAAGTATTACTAAGAGAACATATAGAAAGAGACCAAAAAATGTATTTGTACGGTAAAATATCTTAACTAGAGAACTGCTATGAAAATACAGTGACCATTACATTCTGCAGATTTATATTTTACCATTTCCCTATTTGAATAAAGTATGTGATATATCAGATATCCCGTGGACCTCAGGTTTCAGCATAAATTTCTTGAGGAATTATTAATACATCTGACGTTACATTTCCATCTAGCAGTACCTACCCATAAATATACTGATGAATTCAATAAATATTTAAGGTAGCATATTGCTAGTGCCAGGAACTGAGGATTCCAAAAAATATATAGACTTATGCCCTGATGCTACCACTCTAGAACTCATGTGGTCATTGCAATAACTAAGGCAAGAAATAAGTGTGATGGGATTTCCATAAAGGACATGCACAAAGGTATCTCGGGGAGTGAAGAAAAAAACTGCAGGTAGGAGGAATCCCCTAGAGATGTTTAATTCCTTTGCCAAATGGAGTTTCAAAAATGTATGGCTTATCATGAATAATCATTCCAAATGTAATTCAGAATAAAATTTTAATTTTACATAAAAATTTCCAACAATGAGAATGAAGCATACACACACACACCAGAAACATGGATATTGAGTACTCAGACTAAAAAAATCACAATATAATGTGTTCAAAGAAGCAAGATTATAATTAAAGATTCAGTTTCTCATCACACTTAATGGGCATTTGCTAATACCCAAGCCCTGTGTTAGCAAACTCAATGTACTTTCTAAATTATCCTTTACCTTAACTCTAACAGGAATTACTGTTTCCATTTACAGGATAAATAACTGAAATTAAGAGAAATGAATTAACTTGCCTTTGATCACACAGCTAGTGAGTGTTAGAATCAATATTCACAGTTTTTCATGTATCTTGTTTGATGTTCGTTTTATACATAGCAGCAAAATCACATTAGGCATTTTTAAAGCAGAAAGAGCACCAAAACAGTGGTTGACAAAAAATTAATAATCCATGTCATAAATACTTTCAGACATATTTGGCTAACCTCATCCATCCTAAAAAATCTAGCCATTTGCTTGGAAATTTTACCAAAGATGATTAATGAAAAGATCCAAAAATCCAGCACATATATTTTTATAACTATTAGTATACAGTAAAAACTAATCACTGCCTAAGATCAGCCAAAACATAATATGCAATTTTGGTCAAAAGTGATCCTTGCAAAATACACTTAAGAGACCCATCACCTACCAGGGATTGTGTCCTCTGGAATGTCAAAAGAGTACACGGGTCTGGAAAACTTGGGTGTATGGTCATTCACATCACTGACAGTGATATTAATTCTCATGTCTGAGGACTGAAGACCATCATCAGCACGAACTAGCAATGAATATTTGGAACGGCGTTCCCTGTCCAACCTCCTGGTTGCTATCAGATCTCCGGATTCTGGGTCAATGCGAAAACTATCATCAGCTCCACTAATGATAGTGTATGTGACGAGAGCATTTGCACCCTAAAAAAAGAAACCAAGCATCTGAGCTATTGGAAGTAAAAAAGCATTGCTTCTTATATTTTCTTTTGAACACGTATTTGACAAAGTAAGGTTTTTTGTCTTTAAGTTGATATGATATTATAAGACTTAAACAGGTAATGAGAGATAAACTCAACTAAGGTGGTAAAAGCTTTGTATGCCCCAAACTACAAACCATTGCTGAAAGAAATCAATACAGATAAAAACAAATGGAAAGACATCCCAAGTTCATGCATTGGAAGACTTAATATTGTTCAAATGTCCATGTTATCTATGTAATTTACAAATTCAATGCAAATTATATCAAATTCTAATGGCATTTTTAATAGAAATAGGTAAAGCAATTTGAAAATTCATATGAAACCACAAAAGAACCTAAATAGCCAAAACAATCTTGAGAAAGATAAACACAGTTAGAGGTATCGTGCTTCCTGGTTTTAAAATATACTACAAAGTTACAGTAATGAATAAAGGATGGCGCTGGCATAAAGACACACATATAGACAAATGGAACAGAATAGAAAGCCTACAAATATATCCATGCATGATAGTCAATTGATATTCCATAAGGGTGCCAAAGATATATAATGGGGAAAGGATAGTCACTTCAATAAGTGGTGTTAGGAAAACTGGATATCCATATGCAAAAGAATGAAAATATACATTATACACAAATATCAATTCAAAATGGATTAAAGACTTAAAATTAAGGCCTGAAACTATAGAACTCCTAGAAGAAGCCTGGGCAATTATATCATGTATGTGATCCCCAAAGCAAGCAACATAAGCAAAAGTAGACAAATGAAAGTATATCAAACTAAAGTTTCTCTACAGTAAACAGTCAAGAAAATGAAAAGGCAATCTATGGGATGTGAGAAAATATTTGCAAACTGTATATCTGATAAAAGATTAATTTTCAAAATATATAAATAAGTCCTACAACACAATAGCTATAAGTTTGGTAATCCAATCAAAAAATGGCTAAGGTCTTATACAGGTGTTTCTTTATAAAGAATACATAAAAATTGCCAATGAGTACATAAAAAAATACTCAATGTCACTAATCATCAGGGAAATGCAAATCAAAACCACAAAGAGAAATCACCTCACACCTGTTGGAACTGCTATCATAACAAATAAACAAGTGTTGGTGAAGATGTGGAGAAATTGGAACCCTTGTACACTATTGGTGGGAATGCAAAATGATGTAGCTGTTGTGGAAAACAGTATGGAGGTCCTCAAAAAAATAACAAATAGAATCACTGTATGATCCAGCAATCCTTTTTTCACAATGGTCATGATTCGGAAACAAATTAAATAGCCATTAACAAATGAATGGATTTAAAAAGGTGATATAGGTTTAGCATCCCTAATTAAAAAAATCCAAAATCCAAAAGCCCAAAATCCAAACATTTCCAAGTGCCAATATGATGTTCAAAGGAAATATCTGTTGGAACATTTCAGATTTTGACATTTCAGATTAGGGATGCTAAATCAGCATGTATAATGCAACTTCCAAAAAAAAAAAAAAAAGGAATTTGAGACACTTCTGGTCCCAAGTATTTCAGATAAGAAATACTCAACCTGTATATACATAAAAGGGAATATTACTCGGCTCAAAAAAGAAGGAAATCCTGCCATATGTGACTACATGGATGAGCCTTAAGGATATTACACTAGATAGTCACAGAAGGACAAATACTGCATGATATATATTTATGTATATGAAGTATCTAAAATAGTCAAACACATAGAAGCAAGGAGTAGAATGGTGGTTTCCCAGGGCAGACAGCAGGGAGAAATTACGAGTTTATAAGCCATGGATATACATCTTCACTTATGCAAGAGGAATAATGTCTAGATCTACTGTACAACATTGTGCCTATAGTTAACAATACTGTATTGTACATTTAGAAATCTTTTAAAAGGGCAGATCTCACATTAATGTTCTTATCACAATAAAATAAAAATAAAAGCATATCAAATGAATATAATATTTTGCAGTCTTTCACTATTCATGTGCCTGGCTTACTCACTGCTGAACTGTGTGTTAGAGTGGACAATTTTAATGTAGAACAAAAAAAGGAAGTCAAGTTAAAATGTTAGAGTATAGGTATATTTTTGAGAACCCCAAATGTAACACAACTGCCTCAATTCTACAGCCAAGGAACCCCAATATTGTTTTAATTGGAAGCAGTCTTTTAAGGATATTGATACTGCAGTATGGACTAGTGTAGGGAGAGGCCAGAGAAGGCAGTGTGTGAATACAGTTTGGGCCCAAGAGATTGAGGCTTCACTTCCCCCAAGTTGGTGAAACTGTTCTGTAAAATGAAAGTCCCTGTTTTGTAAAATGAAAACAGGGGTGACTTCCTATGTACTCTCAGGTCTTTGAGCTGTGACCCTCAAAATTCTGAACTAGAGATGGCAGAGAGAAAAATAGAATATTCATAGTGTTTGCTAGATGCTAAATGCCACTTTGAGCACATGAATTCCAGGGCACTAATCAATTTAATTGTTAAAGGCAAACTAACAAGGTAAGCACTATTAGAATGCCCATTTTAAAAGAAACTAAGGGATTGGAATCCTGGCCATCTCGCTCCAGAACTTACTCTGAATCACGATTAACTCAGCATAATACATGGGACAAATTAGTAAAATTTGACAGATTATTGAAAATAGAAATAATACTAATAGCTCTCTCATTTGCTCAACATTTCCATATATATTCTCACTTTTTAAACAAACCCATATGCAAAGTAAAAGCAAAAAAGAAAAAAAAAGTCTTTTTAAATTTCAAGTTACTTTGGGAATTAAGAGAGTACTCTTACTGAGGACATTTCAAGAATAGGACCTGCTTTGACGCAGGATAAATATGAAGTTAAATTTTATTTGCAGTGTATTTAGGGATTAAAGGATAGCTTCATAGAAATGGTTAGCTGGCAATTAGAGATTTTACAATGAGGTTTAAGAAGAATATCTGAAAGTCATTTTATGTGGGTGTCAGTTGAACCCACAAGAGTTGTTCAGAAATTAAATTAGAAGAGATAGAGATAGGAACACCCTTATTAGGACTGAATAAGGATGGTGAAGGAGTGGGAAGAAATAAGAGAAGCAAGGATCAGCAGAGGAAGAAGGAAGAGAGATATTTCTTAACTCTGTATATTACAATCAAAATACTGAGTTAAATTATACCCTGTGCTGATTGAGATAGGATGCTCTGGGGCCATACTTTTGGAGTTGAAACTGTGCTCCATTTATTAGTCATGTGGCACTGGACCACATACTTAACCTCTCCAAGCCCATGTTTCCTCATCTGTACACTGGGATGATAATATTACCTGCCAAAAAGGATTGTTTTAGAGGTTAATTTAGTTAATATATATTTTAAAAACCTAGAACCAACCTTGACAAATAGTAAGCACAGGATAAGGATAGTTGTTATTTTATTCTTATTCTTACTATTTTCTTATAAGAGAAACATGATGGCTTAAATGTATTTGATAACTTAGACTTCTGCAAATGAATAATTGGAATCAAAATATAACTAGAGTTGCTATATATCCATGGGAAACTATGGTATTGGATTTCCTATTATATGTTATTATTGACCTTGACACTGAGGTATAAGTAGTGCTGGAATTGTTGACTTCAAAAATGACTCTTTAATTTAATATACTTACCTAAAACAAATATACCATTTATTATAATTAACCTCTAAGAATGTATTTATTAAAATATTAAGACTCAGAGCTCTCAGGGAGAATATTAGGAAGAAGGTAAGTTTGGAGCGTATAGGCATGTAAAGCTGACACACTGGGGGATTATGGCATCCACAGTTTCCATACATCTTTTTTCCATCATGGCTTACATACATTTTTTCCTACATGATCAAACATATAAGGAGATGATTTCTTTTTTCCTTTTTGTTTTTTTTTTTTTGATCTCACTCTATCGCCCAGACTGGAGGGCAGTGGCGCGATCTTGGCTCACTGCAAGCGCCGCCTCCTTGGTTCACGCCATTCAAGGAGATGATATCTAACAGTCTAAAGCAAAAATATTCCCTCTATATTTAGTGTTAGTTTGTACTGCATTCTTCAGGCCAGTCTTAACATTTAGTAAAATGAATGCCTCAAAGCACATTTAAATTTAATAATGGACAGCTGAGTCTAAGATATTACCCACATTTACCTTGTATATTCAGGTGTACATTGAATACCTAACATATTTATTGTAATTTTCTGGTTTAACAAAAACATTCCATAAGAATGTGAGACTTCTAATCTGACCACACTCTGTACTATTTATTCTGTTTCACGAGGAATTCCATTATTTTAGTAAAGTGGGTGAGGTATGGAAGTAGCTACATTCAATTCTGACCCATGAAAATAGTAAGTACTTGGAAATTAAGGTAAAGCAAAGAAACAAAAACCCATTTAATGCTATTACAAAAATGGTTTGATATGTAGAAATTCCCTGTCTACAAAAGGGCTGTAATAAATAATAATATTCTTAAAATTGTAATAATTTTTCTGAAAAGAGGTAAACACACCAGACTGTGTTGATAAAAAAACAATCTTTTTCATATTCAAAATCAGCTGATGTGGTGAATTCATAATACTAGTGAATATCTGAAAATGTCTGGCCAAGAGTAATGATTTAATTAGGTCTTTTGAAAAGTCTATTTACTTAATATTCAAAATATGCCATATCAGCAACAAAACAAGAAACAAATATCATGTTCCAGCTGCAGTACAGTGGAAATAATGCTGGTTAAAAATATTCTGCTCTCCTGACGAACCACAGACACAAAAGCACATGGAAGGAATTCTAAAAGTAAACAGCCATAAATTTCAAATACATATTAGAACCTTAAATAGTATTTTCAAAAACATATATGGTACTACGGAGCAAAGTTTGATTTTCCTGGCCCATTACTAGCATAATGCTGTTCGTAAAAGAACAAGAGACAAACAGAGTCGTGTGCTTCTGAAACATGTAAATCTTGATCCAACACGTTTCAAATGGTATCTAAATTAAGTTCAACATGTAAATGTTGTTTTATAAAATTGTAATTCCTTTACCCAGGCTTTATTCTACAGTGCCCTACAAGAGTTCCTATAGCATACTAACACTTATATGTTAGGTAAAGTAATTAATGAAAAGTATGTAAATAATTTTTAAAAGTCTACACAATTGGCTGATGACCTACATAATCTTGAGTCTTACTCAAACTAGATGAAGAAAGAAAACAGAGCCAGGATTTGAAAAGAGAGAAAATATTTTAAATATTTTCTCCAAATTCTGCTTAGAGGTAAGGAGCTGAGAACAAAGTAGAAAATAGAACAAAGGTTTATCTAAAAGCATTAATATTTATTATAAGCAACTAAAAGCAACAACAAAAAGAAAACGGCCCAAAATTCTAAATGACATACGCAGCCATTCTACTTAACATGGAACTAAAGACATGTGAGTTCCTCATGTCAAGAGTTATAGTCAGTCAGTAGTTATTAAAACATTATTAAATTGTTTAAAGGAAAATGCATTTAAGAAGGAACACAGCTTTGTGAGCTTTTTCTTTAAAAAACAACAGTTGTAGTTTTACTAAAATGCCCCCCTTTCCTTTCATGTTGTAGGTGCACCTAGTTACTCCCTTCCATACTTTCTGCCTTTCTACACTCACACACAAACAAATCTAATTACAAGAATGTGGTGATTTTTATGCCTTCAGGCACAGTCACACCTCATACATATTGTCAGCATCCCTCTCTACCCTTGAATTGCTAACAGCCTTTCCTCCATTTCTCTTGTTTATTCCAACGTTATAGCCTCACACTTTTCTGGCCCTAATTCCCCACTCTGTCTCATCTCAAAAGTACTTCTTATATATCCTAGCTATCATCACTTTACATTCTGTATTTTTCTTAACTAGGATGTCTAAGTGATAACACCTGCATGGTTACTTACATTTTTTTTTTAAACTTAAAAAGCAAAGCCAAGTAGAAATAAAATAAAAATTCACAAAAACAAGTGTTGGTCTAAATACCTAGAGGTATAAGGACCTTCCTAGGCTTCCTCTAGTCTCATCATAAATGTAAACATAGCTTAAAAGATGAACTTGAAGGCAATGCAAGTGTGTGCACACACAAACAAACACACACACGGAAGTCAGATGGAGAAAAATAAGAATGCTGGCAGTACTGCATTTATACTAATAACTTACTTGAAATGTTCTTAAAGAGAAAATATTGGGAGGGAAATAAAATTATAACAGTATCAAGAGAATAGTATTAAAAGAGTTGAATGTTGGAATCTCTGAAATAACAATTTCTTAAGAGAGCAGTATGATGATTAAAACAACTAAATTTCCAAATACAATTTTACCTGTTATTCCTGTAACTCCTATTGAATAATCCCACTCTAATTAAAATATTCCATGGAGTAAATAGCCATCCCATTTGAATATCTATTATAATTAACATGATTATTACTTTATTATTGTAAAGTTATTAGAATAAATCACTTCAAATAAATGAGTTTTATTTGCTCTGTTCCTGCAGAGAGTATAACCAACAAAATAGCCATTACAATTTCAATTATTTGATGCCAATTGTCTTCTGCCAATTGCATGAGTTTTTTTGTTATTGCTGCTATTTTCAAATGAGAGTTAGTGAAATTTTATGAATTGAAAAATCAAAATGTATATTATCAATGATAAACTTTAAGAGAATGAAATATTTACTGAATTATGGCTAATGATATCACATATCTATGAATAATGGAAATATTAAGTCAGACAACTCTTTCAAAGCTAGCTAAATCTGAAATAAGTGTGAACTTCACATTGTAAAATTGAGTAGAATGTACTAAACATAAAACATCATACCTTTTCTAATATCAAATTGCAATTACCTAAATGTCTATGCTTTATTTTGTTCATCTGTAATAGTTGGATTTTGGCAAACTTTATAAATGACTAGGTCATTACATTTCTGTACTGGCAGTTAAAATTATTCTATTATTTATTTATTTACATTTTTAAGGTCACAGAAATACATTTATAAAGTGCTTATTTGTATGCCAAGAATCAAGTTTCTGATATTTCTGAGTTTAGATGAGAAGAAGAAAATTAAAATCTCTGTTCTGTGTTGGGCTTGGCTTAAGGGGAAAGAGGTAAGGAGATACTGGTGTCTGGAAAGTTATTCCTCTTTCCTATACTCCAGAACATTAATTAAACTCCTTACCCACTAAGAAGAAAATAAGCTATGGAGTTTTTTCATAAGAAAAAATATAAATCACACATTATTTGTTTCCATGCCATTTGAAACATAATTACATAGCTGAACTTAATATATAAATATAGAAAATAGTAATCTAAACTTTAAAATTCTGTAATTTTACGTCATTTGCTTTTAACAATTACAAATAAAATAAAAATCAAACCTTAGCTGCTATAAGATAGCAAAGGGGAATAATAAAGGCATAAAATAGAGATACGTCTTTAGATATTTTTATTATTAAAGAAAAAGATAATTTGGCTAGGAAACCTAAAGTACAAGCAGCAAGTAAGTGAGTTGTGGATTGCTGATCAGAGGAAAATTACCTCTTGATAGTAATTTCTTTTTTAACATTTTTATGTTACATTTCAAGAAGTAATGTTCTTTGGAAAGGAGCACACATGCTTAACCTTAATTATTGGGCAATAAAAGTAGTCAACATATCCTAGAAATTTGATAAATCACTGCACTACTAAGTTTCCCAAATTCAGAGACACGCTCGAGCTACCTCATCAGCATCCATGGCTGTCAGCTGCATAATCTTAGAGCCATCGCCAATGTTCTCCTCTACAGTGAGATCCAGCATGTCGGTTGGAAATACTGGTGGATTGTCATTGATATCCTGAAGTGTTATTTCTACCTACAAAGAAAAAGGAAACAATGTGTGAATGACTCCCACGTGTCTGCAAAATACCAATTAAAGTGACTGCCAGGAATCCATGCAATTAAGACTGCCGAAATGAATCAGAACCTTTGCATCTAACATCCAAACAACAGAAACTACTCCTAGGAAAAAAAACTGTGAAATCTTTACAGGAAAACATAAAGTCGAAATAAAAATCGTCTGTCTTGTTGATAAGTAACTGATTTTAAATAGTGGCCATGGAGTTTATTCTAGAAAAGGTCCACTGGTTAACTGCCATTTTAATCCCAGGATTTGTACATCACTATGGAACTGCCAAGGCTCAGCACTGTCTGTCATTCAACCATTAAATACTGTCTGACACACAGAGGAGGTGGTGTAAAATTTCTTGCCGAAATGTTTACATACTGGCAACTAATGTCTGGGGGAAATAAAGAAGTTCACATGTTGTTTAAGAATCACTCAGAATTTCCCCCTTTAAAGTCCATCCTCAACCTTTAGGGGAAGAAAAATACATCTTTTCTTTGTATTTCCACTCATATCAGCACTTTCTATTTGCAACTAAAGCTAAGCCATCATTTCTTTCAGGTGTCATGTGGATACAGGTTGCAGATATTAACAGCTTTGTTTAAAAGACTCTAGCCAGAGTTATTTGTTTCCTCACCTAAGAAAAAATGTTTAGAAGAAAGGATCTGTGAAGTCTAAAATAATAACTTCAAACTCTGTATTTTCTCTTTTGAGTTAGGTGCTAATAGCTCAAGTTCTGGTAAGAAAAGGGGAAAGACAGCTGCTAATAAAACTACAGTCTTCCCAGTTGGATAACAAAATTAAGTCATGGAGAAAAACCCACCCATCCATTTAGCTAGGATATAACCAGGGCCTGTTTTTCATAGGATAAAGTGTCATCTTTTATAGTTATGCTATAAAAACTCCATCAGTGATGAGTGATGAGGATGAATCTGAAGGAAGTGGGGAGAGCAAAATAATTCTGATTTCTCCTTTCCCAGGAAGAATGGAAGCTATGGGAAAGGGAGAGGCAGTAAGTAGGACTGTCATCATTCTCTGAAAAGGAATGAATGGGAAATATACGAGAGCTAGACACATAAATAAATAAGCAATTGATAAAAATAGAAAACCCCAGAAAACAATATATAAAATTAAGTAGTAAATAATTGTTATACCTCTAGTTCCACCTTTTAGTAGAAGAGTGGATCATAAAACAAATGGCTCAAATGAGTCCAGAGAATGGTGAAGACAGGAAAGTCTCAGCAGTTAGAAATCTGACACTTGTGATTTTGGCTAGCAACAATTGTAGACACCATTTCCTTTAAGGAAATACTCACAATGACTACAACTGCAGCCTATAAGATGCATTTCCAACTTTCGTGCAGGGATGTAAATATCATGGGTTTTAGAATCAGAGAGACCAGACTTCAAATTCCTGTCTGACACTTATTAGCTGGATGAACTCGGGTACTTAATTTCTCTTAGCCTCAGCACATCCTTTTAAAATTAGTATAATAATAAGTGTCCTAGAGTATTTTATGAAGACTAAACCTTGATGATATAGGTAAAGAAAATGCTTAACACAGTTTCTGGCACAGAGTGAAGTATTCTATAAAATATCAAGATCTTAGTTTTCAAGCTATTAGGACAGAACCGGAAGCTCCTTAGAACCAGAAAAAGGCTTTGAGAAAAGGTATTTTAGAAATCAGAATTCTAGTCTCACATACAGTTTCAACTGGTACACACTGAATGTACATTGGGTTTTCATGTGGGAAGAGCTTTGAAATACACACATATACATACACATATATATACACACACATGTATATACATATATATAATTAATGTTATTCAGGAATTACTAAATATCTTCATTTTATACACTTACATTTTTGTATATATATGCAGAGTCCTTAGAACTAGAAAAACTGACAAATAAAAGGTAACTGAATGCCTCATAATTCAACTCTGAACTTTTAGATTCACAGAATTTTAAAAAATTCTAAATTGTCTTTCATCCGTAATCTTATGACTTTATTGGGAAAGCAACAAGCCACCCTTGTGCGTGCTTGGGGGGGTGTGTGTGTGTGTGTGTGTACATGCTTGTGTGTGCATGTGTGATTTTGTAAATGTCTTTGTGAAAAAACGTACGTGTTTGTGTAACTGTGTGTGTGTGTAAATGTGTGCTTGTAAGTGTGTATGTGCAGGGAAGAACATTAAATTGAGAGTAAGGAGGGTCTAGATTGACACCAATTAAATATGACCATCAAAGGCACATCAGGAAACAGAGTTACACACTAGAAACAAGTTGTGTGTACCTGAAAGATGTTTCATTGTAACTGGTGGGTCCATGAATTTAGCAAGCCCATTCTATATTTTAATAGTTTTAATAAAATAACTAATAAACATACCTGACATTGTTTTAGGTTACATGTGTGTGTACATACATACACACCTACACACACGTATATACATCTAAAAACCTCAGCAGAGCCCTATGACCTAAGAACTAATTATCTCCCATTTGAGAGATGAGTTAATGAAAGTCCAGCGTTAAGGAACTACCTAGTGTCACAGAGCTAATCAGTCAGTAAGTTTTCTTTACTGCCATGCACACCTGTCGCTCTCGTGTGTGTGTTCAAAAAACATAATGAATCATGTTTTTTATGTTACAGCTATACAAATATATTTTCATAAATATGTATTTCATTCACATCTGAATCACTTACATAAGAACTAACTAGCTATATGATCATGGGTAAAAGCTAATTAATCTCTCTCTGTCAAATTATTTTTTTAAAAACTAGACTAGGTAGGCCGGGCGCGGTGGCTCAAGCCTGTAATCCCAGCACTTTGGGAGGCCGAGACGGGTGGATCACAAGGTCAGGAGATCGAGACCATCCTGGCTAACACAGTGAAACTCCGTCTCTACTAAAAAATACAAAAAAACTAGCCGGGCGAGGTGGCGGGCGCCTGTAGTCCCAGCTACTCGGGAGGCTGAGGCAGGAGAATGGCGTGAACCCGGGAGGCGGAGCTTGCAGTGAGCTGAGATCGGGCCACTGCACTCCAGCAAGGGGGACAGAGTGAGACTCCGTCTCAAAAAAAAAAAAAAAAAAAAAAAACTAGACTAGGTAATCACTACATAGCGCTCTAGAAGTCTTTGATCCCGTATGTGCTGTGAAATTTTGGTCATTTCAGATACGGAAAAGTCTTTCTTCTTGCTTTAGTAGAGATAGTAAATTTAATTAAATATATTGAGTTCAAAAAGACACCTTTTTGAATGAATCTATATAGACCAGTTGTATATACAGATCTAGACCATTTCATCATCATTATATTCTGATACATGCAAAGTTTATATTTTTAGTAAGAATTCCATAGGTCATTTATTAAATAAAGCAGGCTATCCTCTTTCCCAAAATTAGTGTCATCTTGCCATTCTAAAAGTGAATAACGGCCGGGCACTGTGGCTCACGCCTGTAATCCCAACACTTTGGGAGGCCTAGGCAGGGGAATCACCTGAGGTCAGGACCAGCCTGAGTTCAAGACCAGCCTCGCCAACATGGCAAAACCCCATCACTACTGAACATACAAAAATTAGCCAGGCGTAGTGGCGGGCGCCTGTAGTCCCAGCTACTCAGGAGGCTGAGACAGGAGAATCGCTTGAACCCGGGAGGTAGAGGTTGCAGTGAGCCGAGATGGCGCCACTGCACTCCAGCCTCAGCTGCAGAGTGAGACTCTGTCTCATAAAAGAATAAAAAAGAAAAGTGAATAACTTCATATTCCATTTCTTGAAAATCTAGATATTTTTCCTTAATTGCCCATTCCCTTTTCTCTACTCCACAGTTCCTTAGATATAACTGAAAAGCTTTCAGCATGGCTTGGCAAAGTTCTCTCAGTAGCCTGGGGTTTTAATTATCCAGGAGAGAAGATCTGAACTCATTAGCATAGATAAGTGTTATGCTGCCATTTCTTCACTTATCCAGATCCTTAGTGCCATGGTTCTATCTACCAAGAATTGCAAGATTCTGAACCCATTTACATGTGATGTGGTCACTAAATATAACATTTATTGATTCAATATTTTAGAATCTGTCACATAACAAGTACGTGTTAGTCACCAAAATATACAAAAGAAAATAAGACATGTCACCATTCCTTGTAGAAAATAGGTGATGTGCTTTAATAGCAATATTTACAAATGCAAGCAGTCATCCCTGGGAAAATACACTGTTGACATCTTGATTCCAGAAGTTTGTCTTCCACACTATGAATATTCTTTAAATTGCCTTACTTCTTGCCATTGGCTGTTACTATTTCTCTTGATGATTCTAAATCCTAACATGTGCTTGGTTCACTCTGAGATCTGACACCAACCATTACTATAACTTCTTTAGATTAAGGTTTGGTGTGATTTATTTTTAAATGTTACATAAAACACAGGAATTGAACATTAGAAGTTTAAAGAAAATATCAGGAAACAATAACTACATTTTTATAATTCTTAAAACTTTTCTATTTCTATACGATTTAGATCACTTTAAATAATGTAGATAGTAGTTATTAGTGGTTTAGTTTAAAATTCCAAGATCTTAAAATAGTCTACAATATTATTTCTAAACTAAAAAAGCATATGTTGTAAAAATTAAAGGACAAACCAAATATCACTACATAATTATGCTTTCAGTGTCAGCATTGCCCCCTCCTAGTGTTTTACATTTATCTTTGCATTTGTTTAGACTGGAGGTAAAATAATGTCATTCAAATGAACATTTTGCAAAAACACAAATCACAGTTCAAACTCAGAAGTTTCTCTTCATGAGTGGCTACATTTTGAATAAAAACAAAACAAAATCTGGCAATAGCTTTTATAATTGAAGTTCAGAACAACTTAAGGTATCAATTCTGAAAGTTCGTAAAAACTGACCTTTAAAGACGAAAGACTCATGACCCTGTTAAGATAAGGCCCTTTCATGTTTCATGCATGCCTA